TTGGAATGAGAAAGTGCTTGATAGGTAGACCAGCTGGCTAGATATGGCAGCGTGACGAGCTGCTGAGAGTGGTGGACAATGAGTCTTCAGGGCCAGAAGACAGGTGTTTGAAAGCCATGCTGATGAGAAAGGAACTGATTACCAGTAAGACAGACAGGAGAGGGAGGGGAATAACTTTAGGAGAATGGCCTAAAGTTCCTGAGTACTAGGGGAAGAAGTGGGTTGCTTCCACTTTGTGATATCAGAAGTTGGGTTCATTTTCAAGCAGACTGGTTTTGTGCTAGAAAGGTGAGAGGCCCATATCTAATGACTTCTATTTTCTTAAGTATAAAAAAAGACATGAGCTGAATGATAGTGGGGAAGCCTGCTATTAGAGGCATGACAGGAGAATGAAAATGTAAAACAGACATCTGAGAAGTGGGACCTTAGAGAGTTTCAACTATCGGGAATCACGGGAGGGCTGTTGGCAGTGTCAAGTGCTGCTTTGAGGCTGAACCCCTGAGTATGAAATGAGGCCACAGAGCGTTGCTGCAGAGCACTCGCCAGCAATTTCAGGGCCTCAGTAAAGGCACAAGGAAGGTAGGCAGCAGAGTTCATCCTGGCTAAGGGTTTTTCTAGGCCCTCTAGAAGTAAGTCAACCACAACCTTAAGTGACTGCTGTTTTAATGGATTGGCTTGGAAGCCACATCAGAGTGGACATCGGTAACTTCCATTTAGAAGTGAATGAAACTTGGAGGCATGGAACGCTAATGACCCCTTCAACAGTGTTGCTATGGAGAAGAGCAGGACAAGAAAACAGACAGTAAAAGTGGTTAATAAAGAGAATTTTCTATTAACATGTAGTAGCAGTCAGCTCTTGGTCCCCATATCAGGACACCTGAGATTAACAAAAGGTTTATTTTGGCTCATGGCTTTAGAGGTTATAGTCCACGATCAGGTGGACCCACTGCTTTTAAGCTTTTGGTAGGGGTGCTGGAGGCCAACAGCAGGGAGTGCGTGGTAAAGAGTGTGGTTCCCTCATAGCCAGGAAGCAAAATAGGAAGAGGAAGGAGCCAGGGTCTCTTTGGAGACACATTCCCCATGACACAAGGACCTCCTAAAGGTACTATCACTTCCTAGTAGTGTCATTCTGGGGACTAAGCCTTTAAAACACAGGGGACATTCAACATCCAAACCATAGCACATGCTAGTGGGTATGATTAGGAGACAGTAAGAAATTAATTAATTAATTAAGAAATTAATTAGTATAAGAAAACAGAAACGTGCGCCAGGGATTTAACTCAGTAGCAACACACCTGCCTTGCAAGCGTAAGGTCCTGAGTTCGATCCCTGGTAC